ATATAAATTACTTATTTGCCTGATTTAGTAGTGATCGGCGATTACTGCGCCACGTGCTGCGGCTGCGCCATATGCTGTACCACGTCTACTGTACCATACGAATAAGCTAATTAGTTACAATATGACACAATAACTTGGTATTTCCCAGATCATCATGATCATTGACTTTTTTACTTCGTAAGAGAGATCGTCGAAATTAAGGAGTATTTTATCTGATACAATCACAGACAAAACCTGACTCATGCTAAACAGTTAACCGAAAAAATTATGAAAAATACTTGGTTTTTAGAATAGACTGAAGGAATGGGATGCTATAAAATACTTCGTTCTTTTCTCCTGTAAATGGGTATCAATAATATTTTTCAGCACTAATTCCAAAGTATATACCGCTATTTATTATACCACTATTTATTATACCACTTTTAATTAAGTTTATAAAACATATTTGTACTTACCATTATTCTGTATTTAGGAATGAAAAAATGAGTAGTTCTAATGACATCTCCGTTTCTAAGACCAATGAAAGTGGCATTTCTAAGACCAATGAAACTAGCATTTCCAAGATCAATGAGAGTAATGTTATTAAGATCACTTATCCTAATGACTCATCATCTTCTAAATCAGGGACTGTTGAAATTACTCAAACTCGTAAGTGGGCTTTATTATTGGCATATTCACAATGATTATATTTATGAGATAAGATTAAGTTTTTTATTTCAAAATAGGTAAGCAAGAATCAAGACAAGACAATACAAGAACAATTCATACCGAATCTGTGAAAACAATAACTAATATCAATTCATTGGTAGAAGATATCAATTCATTGTCTGATGATATTAAGTTATTAAAGATGTTAGACAAAAAATGATTTTAATTATTCACATAATGTAATGCTGTGCATGAGCTATACCTGATAGCCGTTTGGCAATTTTTAAAATAAAAAGATTCTGCTATATATGCGGATTTGCACATGATATCGCTCCATTATAATGACATAGTGAAATAAATTAATTCATTCTGAATCACTCAATTCTGATGATATTCTAATTACAGAAATAAGATTTGTTATAATTAATGTATTGTGGAAAACCAATCTATTAGGTCCACCGCTAAAAATATAGCTTTGAGATATCTTAATGGATCTGGAATAAGTGGAGGTAGATCAGAACAATCTGGAATAAGTGGAGATAGATCAGAATCTGAGAATTCATCATCAGAATAATCAGGATGTTCAATTTTAATTTTAGGATTGAGTTTTTTCATCACTTCTTTGCTAATTCCTTCATATCCTTCCAAATCAAGATATTTCAAATTAGTACAATTTCGGACTATTTTCTCAACAGCTTTATTATTAATCAAGCAATCACTAAGCTCAAAATGTCTAAGTTTTGGGCATGAATGCGTTATCTCAATGATACAACGATTAGTAAGACATATACATGAATTAAGACTCAAGTGTAATAGCTTTAGGCAATATCTTGCAATTTCTATAATTGATATATTAGTGAAACCATTACTTCGGTCAAGAATAAGAAAGTGTATATCTGGGCATGAATGCAGAATTGCACTGATCAAAATATTCGAGATTTTTAAACCTTCCAAACTAAGATATAATATTTTTGAACAATAGAGTGACTTTATCTTTCCACACATAACTCTTTTAAACTTCAATAATTGCTAATAAAGATCTCCAAATGAATTATTATTATATGTGTTTCCTTGACAGTCTATGAAAAAATCAATATCTCGTCATAGAATAGGAGCACTGCAGTGGTACCAAAGATGGTTGACAAATAAAGCAGGATAGAGGGATCGATCGATTTTTAAAAAATATAAGATCTGTTCTAGCAATTCTGGTAAATCAAATATATTCAGTTGCACTATTCTCAAGTAATCTATTATTATATATCTTTAATGGAAAAAACTAATGCTTGAATAATTAATTTAGGTGCATATATCATTTATTTTTCTGATATTCTCAACCACGCTTAACTTTGCAATCAGCTCATCTAATGACAAGTCCATTCCACATCTTCTGGCTTCTAACTGATTATCACGAGACAATCCATGGAGGAAGTGTTCCTTAAGGTAAATTTTGTTATTATTTACTCCTAATGCTATTATATAATATTCCACCATCTTATAATATTCTTTTACTGGTAGGGATATTTGTTTTGGTGGTGGGAACTCTCATGGAATATCTAATAATACATCAGTTCCATTAAGCAATGTGAGAGTATGATTGGAAAAATTCATTTCAGTTATATTTGCCTGAATCCATGGTGAACCTAATAACAGGACATGTGCAAATTTGGGTTTATTAGAAACTAAAATATCATTAACTTCTATCTGTTTCTAGTTATTATCTTTAGACCAGAAAGAAAGATTTATTTTATGAACCATTCCCAATATTAGTATGCTATCTTTTATAGTCTCACAACGTGAGGATGATATTGCATCTAAATTATTTGGCAATTTTTCAGATAGAAAAGAAATTAATAGTTTTGCTTCTTCTTTATGGGAAGTATCAATCTCTAAGCCTAGTACATCTACTAAACCCCTGCCTATAAGATTACAATTGCTGGTGGTATCTAGTATAATTTTAACTGATACTTTATTAATTTCGCAAGATAAAATTCTCATCATGATGTTTTATTATAACAATATATTTAATTCTGCATTTTTAAATTCGTATTAATAAATAATAATTTTGCATTTACAATGACTGAAACTAATAGCAATATTAGACTGGCTCATCAGAATTTACAAGAAAATGATAATGAAATCGTATCGCTAATAGAATTAGTAAAAAAATTATTAATATTGATCAATGATAGGGATACAGAAGTAGTTTGTGATTCAGGTTCAGAATGTCCAATTATCACTTATGAGGTTGCGAAAAAATTGGGTTTCAAAAAAGATAAAAGTTTATCCAATAGCGAAGCTAGTGCCAAGACACATATTACTAATAAAGCGGTATCTGGTATTGTTAAACAGATATCACATAGAAGAATTTCAATTTCTCTTCACCAATTAATGGAAATAGTAAAACCTGAGATTGAACTAGAGATTATTGACTTAATAACAAATCCAGATATTTCTCAAAGAAATCATACACCATCTAAGGCTAAAAGAAAAAAGAGATTTTTAAATGATATAGCATCTTCATCCTCATCCTCGCCTTCATCTGGATCTGATTCTTAATCCTCTTATGATAATGAAGATTTTACTGTAGATATGGTAAAAGTGAAGAAGCGCAATTAATCTTGATCATAGATTTGAAAAGGTCTTGCCTTCTCAGTACTAAACCCATGAGGCCTGTAATTGACTACAACGTAATTTTGCATAGGAGAAGTATGGTTATCAGATGAATGACGTAGACATTCTCCAGCAATTGTATAAGCGTGGGCCATATTCTTAGCCTTATGTACTACCACATCATAAATAGCACCCATTTTTCATAAGTATTTGGGAATTAAATCATAATCTTTTAAGAATTTATTGAATCATTTAACTCCTGGCTTATCTGGATCACCCATTCATCCAGATGATATAGCATGCTGAATCCAAGTGAGTAGTTCTTTGACTCATTCTTGATTCTTTTCCATAGATCTAAATTTTCTAGGAATATCTGGTTGACCCCAATTTTTTGCATATTCTGTTACTCTGGCATCTGTAATATGTAAAGTTGTAAGTTCAGCAAGATGAATACAAAGCATCACCATGATATCAGCAAGAGCCCAATAATTAGGCAGAGTTTTTAAATTATACGCGTCTAACCTTTCTTTGACCAATTCTAATGTAAATTTATTTGGATAATTGATACATTTAGTTTTAGCCTTTTTCTGATTGATATTTTGGATTTTGTTGGCATCTTCTATAATATCTGGAAATTTCGTAGCCTTGATTATCTCAAGTGATACATTAAGATTCCTTAATTCTCTACGAAGACGAGTGAGATGTGATGAGCCAATATTAGCATTTTTTGCTAATAGGGCTAAGGCATAAGCTTCAGCTCTTACATCTCTAATACTAAGTTTATCCTGTAAAATCCATTGCACCATATCTCCGATAGTTTCTTCCTCCATTCCTTTCAAGGGTTTGTTGAAAATTATAATATTTATGTTTTTATCTGAGATAGTTACATTGTGGTTACTTCCATTTTCCTGGATTGAGAGATGACGTAAGTTGCTTTGCAAAGCAAATAAGGCATTCACTTGATCTTCACTAAAGCCATATCTATTCTGTAAGATTCATTTAGTTATCTCTCTGATAATCTCCTCTTCCAAATCTTTTAGGGGTGAAGCTATAGCTATTTTGCAACTGCCCTTGATAATATTTATAATCTTGATTTTACTACTTCTCTGATTAGGTATTAATATACTTATCTGATCACTGCTAAATTTAAAACCATCTCGAAGATGTTATTGATCTTGATTTTGTTTTCTATCATCGGTAAGATTTTCAAGAAATTCTGAGGTATATTTACTGAGCTTAGATACACTCATCTCGTTGTTGAGATTGTATTTTTTAATGATTTTAGTTACAATAGCTGACATGATCTAATATTAAGTAGGTTATGAATAATTCTTTAGGTTATTTACACTATAAAAAATATTTTTTCAAATCGAAATTAATTATCTGTGAATAGCTATATCCAAAAATTGAATAGATCGTAGTTATTATAATTCTATCAGAAAATAGATACGAACAAGATACAAAATAGATTGAAGAATTTAATCTATATATGCCAGGTATATGATACACGTCAATACCTTAGATCAGATCTGTTGATTTGAAAGTTACCAATATATAGGATATAACAAAAAAAAATTTATAGCTTCAAGTTATGGCAACTCAGGCTATATTAACATCATTTGGTACTATATTTATTTTTTATGTGTCAAAGACACTAGCTTTGCTATAATGCTTGAAATAGATTCCAGTATTTTTCTATACTTATGGACCATTTCTTGTAAATATCGGGTTTATTTTCCATTATATCAATTGGTGGTATCATAGCTGGATGGGACAGAGCATTCATGAATCTAATTTGCTCAGGATAGTAATAATCTATAATATCTGGTAATTGTAGAAATTCAGCTAGATCTTTTACGTACTTGAAACCATTACGCATTAGTCTACAGAATGTTGGTCTGTTGTGATCAATCTCTCTTTTGGTTAATAAGTTAACTACTTTTTGGGGTATTTCCATTAGGAGTTACTAGTTATGAAAATGATAATAGTTAATTGTTACTTATAAAAATGATAAGTTTAATTAGTTATTTCTCAAAGACCTGGATTATATACGAAAAAATTAATGATAATACTTATCTAGTAATTTACTTTGCAGATATAGAAATTAAGTATGTAAAGTTTCTTTTACATTCTTCTGTTTATAGTAAAACTCATGTCTTTGACACATAATATCTATACGCTCTTTCTCTACCTTGTCCACATGGTACACAAAGTTGAACACTCAATTTAGTTCCTCACCCACATCCTTTACATAGTTGGAGAATTATTATACCCTTTCGAATTTTGAATGCATGGGAGACACAATATTCCTCTCTCGCTGGATTTTTACATAAATAGATATCTCCAACTAATAACCAATTACAAGGCATTTTCAATTCACAAAGTGACTATACTATTCTATTATCACTTTCATATTTAAAATCAAAGTAGGAATGAAGTATTGACTAAAATTTTACCAAATAGCATTTTAGGCATCACAAAAACCAGTATATAGCTTAAAGTTTGCGTAATATTTTTTATCTAAAATTTTTTATATTGACTAATTTGTAGGAGCAAAAAACCCTCTATATCAAAGCCCCTACCTGCAAAATTTACCTATTTGCTCCTTATCAATTAAGCGATTACCATAACATACCATTTTCCTGGAGTATGTTAACCGTTTTTTTCCATTCCTCATCAGTATCCAGTCATGATGAAGTGATTCCATCTTTCTTGAGAGAATGGTGGATTATTTCTTCACTTATTAATCTTTCTCACACTGTCATATCCATATATTCATTGGGGTCTTCTTCAGCCTTCTTTGCAAAACTACACATTCTCATATCAGTCTGCATTCTATTACAGAATGCTATGAAATTGAGCTTATTTTTATTAGTTATAGTAACGAATTTGTCAGGATCTTCGCCAAGTTCAATGGCTTTTTCATGAAAATATACCTTTCATTGCTCTCAGGTTAAATAATCAGGCGGGTATGCTATCTGGGTGGGAGTTGAATCAGAGATTTGAGACTTTGTCTTTTCTTCGTTACTGGTTTTTGGTTCATCATTTATAGGTAAGTTGGAAGAGATTTTGGAAGGAAGTTTGAATTTATCATCAATAGGTTCTACGTATATAATCTTGAATGACAGAGATATCAGTAGGGACTTTGTTCCATGATTCAGAGAATCGTCTAGGCATGCAAGAGTCATTATTCCACAATACGGCCTGCTCTGCAATAGATACTGATGATAAAGCAACTGGAAATTCCAGTTTATCTATTATTAAATCGAAGAGATCCTGGGTTGTATTAGTAATAGAGAAGGTGGATGTTTTCTTATCTTTTTCAATACGATTGGTATTTGATGAGATAGGTTTTATTTTTTTCAGTTCAGAAGTTACGATTTCTAGGACATTAAATATAGGAATATCTGTAGATGCGTTAATGGATATTTCAGTTTGAGGTGAGTCTGAAAATTCTTCGATATTACCTACTGATTTATGTAGCTTGGCCATAATTTTGGAACGATCGAGGATATACTGCCATTCTCTTTTTCCACCACCAGCATGTTTTCATTCAATGTCAACCTATGGAATTTTTTTTCCAAAATTATTATTACTGAATGGCTTTTCACTATTAACTTCATATTATGTACAATACTCCTGATATAACATAGTACAATCTGGTTTTTCAATTTGATCTTCTGACCATACTGAAATATGATCAATTATGAATTGGATGGGATTTGGGAGATGTTCACATATTGTCTCTGTTTTCATTTTAGTGATAGGAATATTTTCTTGTAAATTCCAATTCAAAAGATCTTGATCAAGTAAATAGCTCATAAAAGATCCGGGTGTATTGGGATGGTTGAGAATTTTTCCCAACTGACCAAAATATTTAAAATTATCTTTACATCGGGGTAAAACATCTAAACATATAATACAACCATCTCCTTGCTCAACATGAATTGGGACATCATGATTACTTAATACTATAAATCCAGGAAAATGGCCACATTCTTGATTTTCGAGACCTTTACACTCAATTGAGATATAATCTTCTGTAATTAGAGATTTTAAGTGATTGTTTGACTTATATCATTCTCCACTTAATATTCCCACTTCATTCATAATTATAAGTTTATGTCCTTGAATACTACTATTGAATTTTCCCAAAATTTTGCCTAAATCAGACATTGAATATACAAGCTCTAGACCGAATAAACTTTTTCGAATAAAATCAGTAATAATATTTTTCTCACATCATGGTGGTGAACGCAAAACAAGAATTGTACCTGGAATTATTGCTAGATATTAAACTAAAAATGCTAACTATTTGAGAACATATGTAGAAAGAACTTTATTCCCATCACACTAAATATTTTCTATATGTCATATAATCAGGTTCACAAGATCGTAATTAATTCAAGATGCCGGTTTAGCCTTAAATCCTAAGAAAAGATTAAAAAATTCATTTTTTAGTTATTCGATATTAGGTGGATATGGTAAGAAATTGATATTATCATAAATAATTGCCTTGCTGTCATATATATGATCTATTAAAGAGATCAATTTTATTGGTTCTCCTCCAAGTTCTATTATATTAATAGTTATTTTACCGAAATCAAGAATAGGTACTATATCAAAGTATAATCTACTATCTGGTTTTCTGTGTTTAAGAATTCATGTTCATTTATCTTTTACCACGCAAGTAAGTGTGACCTGGATTATATTATATACTTCATTCCAAGTAAAATTTTTCTTAGAAGTGCACATATGAATTAAATCATCCCATACAAAGTGGTTATTTGAATCTGAGATTCTGGGTCACTCTATTTTTTCTGGGGATGGAAGACTATTTTCCTATTCCAAGACCAATACATTCAAAATAAGTTTTAATGAGAGTTTTTTTGTGCTTATTTGCGTTTCTTAATCTGCTCGATGGTAATAATATTGATAAGTTTTCTTATTTTGGATTATATATGCATTATCACTAGTGTGCTCCCGATTACAGAGTGAGCATTGAGATTTTGCTATGCGATTTAGGAGGAATACATTTGGAAGTGTCAGTAAAGGATATAAAACTTCAAAACCTTTGATTTTATACTCCTCAAGTAATTTTTTTATATATTCTACTTCAGATCCAATTGTCCCAGCATCGATTTTATTATCTTGTAATGGGTCTTTGACCCTTTTTTTTCTTCCAGAATATCTAAAATAGGACTATCTATAACTGGCGCTTCATTATTAGAAGAATGAAGCATAAAATCAAAAATATTCCTATTTTTGAAACCTAATACTTTCTTTACATGTACATATTCTCCCGTCTCTTCAATAAATTTTGGTATTCCAAGTATTCGTAATGAAAATGATCTTTTATTTGCGATATTGTTAACAATTCCTTTATCTTGTAAACCCATTAGAAGCTTTTCACGAACGAGTTCAGTAAATACTATGACTTTGATAATATTATTCAGATGCATTTCAAATATTGAGATATGATAAGACATTTTTTTTGAATCACTACTACTGGCAATAGTGATAGTAGTTTTGTTCCATTCTGGAAATATATCTAAACAAGTTTTTGTAAAAGTATTATAAAGTGTATTTTTTATCTCTTTAGGTGTAAGCTTGGGTTCAATTTTATCAAATTTTTCTCTTGGTAAATCAAAATCAATAATAGGATGAAGTGGATCATCTCCATCAATAAATTCATGCAATGAATGGCCCTGATGATCTGTAAGTATGGCTTCTATTCCATTTTCAGAATTTATTCCAAGAAATTCTCTAGATCTTGCGCTATCATCCCAGATCTTGTATGGATATTCAGCTACACTCTTGGCTTTAAACCTTTGGCGGTAGAACACCCCATCATTTTCTTCCTCTATATCTATCTCTGACTCGAAATTTTCCAAGTTTTCTGAGCTCTCTGATCAAGAGGGTGGTACTTCTGATTCCGCTAATATGTGATCAATAGTTTCCTGGAAATTTTGAATATTTTGAGTAGTTATATTACGTTATTATTTGAAACTATAATAGTAGTTAGAGAAAAGTTCAAAATAAAAATTAATTATTTTAGGTAATTAGTGTTAGACAATATATACTACTTAAAAAACATATTAGCAAAACTTTAGATATGGGATTTTACCATTGTCCTTATATTCTTAGAAGTGGGAAAGTATGTAATCGAGGTTACTATCGACCTGAGAGGTGTACAATTCACTGGGATTCTCCTATCCGTATACCATGTAAAGAATATGGTTATGTTAAGTTAATATCTTTGATATATGGAGCATGCAGAACTTATGCTGGTAAGTATCGTTCTCAGGATCACTATCATTGGGAGAAGCTGAAGAAGATAGCACAAAATAATGTTATAGGTTTAAAGAACCATTACTCTGCAATAAAAAATACATAGTAAGTATATATGCGATATCTTAGTATGGCTAAGTGTCACTGAAAATTAATATATGTGTGTGTGGTATGCAGGATATCTATATTTTCTAAGTTCTAACTGGGATGAATTTTTTTCTAGGATGTAAAGTAGGATGGAAAAAAATATACCTGTCAGTAATTTCAAGCCAGATGAAAGAGTTTTAGAATACCCATCCCAGTTGTTCTAGCTGTCCTAGTAAATTTTCAATCTTCTTATTTTTTTTTCTTTTTTTATCTATAAGTATACATAATATATAGCATGTATATAATGTATATATATCATATGTATAGTATAAATGTATCATGAGTGGATAAATTTTATTTTTCTTAGATTATTACTTTTTACTAGGACAACTAGAACGAATATATAATAAATATAAAAGAACAAGATAAAAATAGATTTTAAATCTTTCTCCTATATCGAATCCATTCCAGTTAACATTTTTTTTACTAGGATGAAATCAGGACAGATTTTTTATTAGGACGCGAGCAGATCTATTTTAAATACATTCTAGGGTAGTGAATATAAGTGATTATATTTTGATAGTATTTTCAATAGCATAACTGGATAATATTTTTCGATTGTATTTATATAACGTACTTGATAGCATTTTTTGATAGCATATATATAATAGCATTATCGATAGCATATAGCGAAACCAGATAGCATATGCGCAATTAATTTTTCTATTAAATATTCTATGCAGTATATAAAATGACAATAATGCAAGATCACAAGAGCAAGCTAACTCAAGCTATTGATAAAATTATAATGCAAAAGATTGAGAAAGCAGACTGTAATATTCATACTACTAAAGCTATCAATAAACTCTTAATATAGGAGATTGGAAAGGACTGGAAAACTTATATAGAAAAGTTAGATCAAGATTATGATTCTGAGTCTGAAGATGAATTAAAAGATCTCAAAAATAAAATAAAAGATATTATATCTAATCGTAAACCTGCAATCAAGAATCTTATTACTACCAATGATATGTAAATCGCAAGATGTAATCTTACTTTTTTTTGCCATGACAAAAATTTGCTATGATCATCATTCAAGTGACGTGAAAAATAGAAATCACATATCAAACCCGTGATAAGGCCAACTCAGTAGCATAACCTATCTTGGAGAGTATCTTATACTTGAAATTAGCTATAGATATCAAACTGGTACATAATAGTTAGTATAAAGTCTGATGACATGAACACAAATTTGTCATCATATTTTTTATAGATCATGGGGTACCCAAGTGTGACGACAGACTCGCAAACTAATTATCACTTGAATAATGACGTATATGTAATCTTATCATCACACCTGAGTGAGAATAACCTAGACTAAGTGGAAATAATATAATTATATTATTTCCACTATCCTTGCCTTGGTTTTGGCTTAACACAGCTCCTATGGTAAAATCTGAAGCATCTGTGGTGACTGTGAATGGTAATTTTGGGTCAGGTAATAACAAGACTGGTGCTGAGGTAAGATGTTGTTTAAGAGTGTCAAATGCTTGTTGCATTATTATAGACCATTCATACTCTTGATCTTTATGTAGGAGTGCTGTGAGTGGTGATGCTGTGGCTAAAAAACCTTTCATAAATTTTCTGTAATAACTTGCAAGACCTAGGAAAGAGCAAAATTCTGATACATTAGTTAGTGCTGGCCAATCTCTAATAGCGGTAATTTTTCTCTGATCAACAGAAATACCATCTGCTGAGATAAATTATCCAAGATATTCTACATATTGTTGTATAATATCACACTTCTTCTATTTGACATACAATTTATGTTTGCGAAGTATTCCTAATACTGTCTGTAAGTGTTGAATATGTTCTTTCTTTGTCTTACTGTATATCAAGATATTATCTAGGTATATGATTACAAATTTGTCAAGATAATTATGAAAGGTTTTTTAGCCACAGCATCACCACTCACAGCACTCCTACATAAAGAT